TTGAATCACATGCGATCGTGTAAACAAAATCTACCCACATAGTACACAAACTGAAATTTAACCGGTAATTACTACTCATCTGTTATACATTTGGATTGGGAGAAAGTAATTGGCCCCAGGTAGGAAACAAAGATGAAATCTGTTGTTTACACATTCCTAATCAGAGCTAGGCGAGTTGTATCAAGCGATCAGAGGTTGAAATTTTTAATTGGAAATTGACTGCAATTTTACCGAAATGACAAAGATTATTATTCATCTGCCTCTGAATTCAGACTGTTTTCTTTATTTTCAATGCCAATGGAATGGTATTCATTGGCGGTGCAATAATGAACCCTAGAAGATTGGAACCTATCGATAAAAATATTAAGGATTCATTGATTTAGACGTTTACCGTTTCTCTTGAAAGGTCACCTGATCTATACTCAATGCTCCATTCTTTCACATACAGTCGGTAACATCAAAACTCGGGGTTTTCTCCTACTGTCGTAGCTAATCAGAATTGGACATTTACCAGATAATCCAGAAGTTGAACTCCTAACCCGCCCCACACGGGAAATAAACAGTTGTGGGCAGAGCATAGGAACCGTGCGGTTTATAAACTAGACGAGGGAAAATGTTTGGCCAGCTGAGTGGTACGGATACAGTGATATAGTAATGACCAAAACGAAAATAATCCATAATACAACCGCCGTAAATTGCTCGTTGTTAGATATACGAGATGTAGTAAAATCGTCCACAGAACCAGAGGCGGGATATTTTATGCATCCCGTGATAAAAACCACATGAATTCAAAACCAAATAAACTTGGCTTATTTCATTTGTTGTCGCATAAGCATTTGTGCTATTAGTGATTGTTTAGAAGTGGGTTCAAATAAATCTTTTAACCAGTAGCTGTGCTTGGGAGGATGGAACTGCTCTATAAAGTAAGACGGGAATGCTCGTGAGGGAGGGGAGTAAAGAACTGAAGAACAAAGGAACAAGTTTTAGAGTGATAGATAGTGTTTATGGGAATCCATCTCTATTGGAAAATGAAAAATTCCTGTTCGTTCTAGGAAATCTGGATACACGGCGAGCGAACGGCTGTGAAACTCGTTCAACATACATTAAAAAATATGATGTTGGTAGACAATAGACAGAGATGAACGAAGTGGTGTCATAATTCACGGAGATAAAATCAGTTATACTGTACCCCAAAACTGTGGGAACGGTACGCAATCATCACAAGTTGTGAAAAAGCCTGGCGTATGGGAAGGAACATACGGATGAGACTCTGGATTTTGAATTCTCTTAATCAAGCTAATGGAAATAAAACCCATATACGTTGTATCTCTTCATGTTATTTCAAACGATGCAAGAGAGGAATGATATAACTAGACCAGGTCTGCACTTCGCACGCGGGGAAGGTTTCGAAGCAAATTCCTCACTGTTACCTTATCTCCTTCCTGTACGGCAACAGATCATCCTTAATCCGACAACTGCTTTCCACCGATCATCACTATGTGTGTGTGTCCGGGAAGGGGAGGGGGGGGTAGGGATGATTATAAAACTATTTTACGGCTCAGCACAGAGGTGATTAATCCTGATTGGTTCATGTGTTATCAACAGGCTATTCACCAGTCACTGGGACATGTGGCTCTGTTCTATGGCATGTTGGAAAACAGCGAGCTGACATGGATGATACGAGACCAGTATATGACAGCGTAAAGCCAGTACATGTAGGCGATTAGTGAGGTGCCATCAGTTATTTCTGTTGCTGTTACGGTTCATGCAGAACGGTTTTCGTGCAAATCACATTGTCCAGAAAAGTTATAGCGTATATTTTTTAGACAAAATAACAGCTTATTTTTACTATCGTGAAATAGAAAAATTTATCAAGCATTGGATTCTTTTCAAAGAATACTGCTGTATTTTGTTTTCTTTTGTATTTTATTTTATTTTATGGCTATATATTATCTGTCTATTCGATCGCATGTGATTCAATTATTGATTATTTGCTCTCGGCAAAAATGGAAATAAAAAAGACAGCATGACAGAACGAAATGTAAGAGCTGAGATAGACAATTTATCGGGGACTGCTTTAACCCTTCATTCATTGCAGACTACTTACCGATCCAATTTCCGCTCAATATTGTCATTTTTCTACTCAATCCTTTCCGATTTTTTGGTAAAAGACCATCGATTTTATTTTACCTCATAACTAAACATCTGTCTAGGATGAAATAATTGTGTCCCAAGGAGATTGGAATAATACAGAACCGGGAATCAGGAAACTTACTTCATCGTATTGTCGTATCAAGCCTTAGTTATGGAATGTAGCTGCAAGTTAAATATTTCATTCTCGCACATCTGCAGTCACGTTCCCGGGGCATCAGTGGAGTATTTCGGCTTCATAGAACTCCGTAGAACCAAAATCGATTCCTGACCGAGAGAATACACTTTCGGATAGGAAACGATGAACTCCGTCCAGCGAATCCCAGTTTTCCATTCCACACGCGATGAAGTGTGCACGGGTAGGAGTTAGGCGACCAGGGTTGTCATGTTTCTCCGGATTGTTCACCGAATCAAATGGGAACAATATCTCACAATTCAACTCCATCTTTCCTCGTTTTCATGATGACCAACTGAGAGATCAAATTGATTTTTGTGACCATGACTTTGGTGATGTTGGACTTAAGATAGCACATACGAAAATGTGGTCAATGTATTGCCAAATCTTTGTTTGGCCTCAGACTTCGATTGTAAATTTGTCACGATATCGATAAACACCTAGACCGGAAAGGTTTAAACGTGTAACTGATATGTATTTCCCTCTCAATCATGAGTGTTTATTATGATTGCAGTGCATGCCAAAATTGTAGGAGCACTGAGATGCTTTGGTTTAGTTTCTACAATGAGAATACTGTAGCAGGGATTCTCTGAACAGTGGTCATCGATTCGGTGCACGAAATTCATCCTCGTATAAGTTGGTCGTAGAAACAGTTGTATTTACCTTTTTCAAACTTCCATATAAAACAAAAAGCGGTGACTTTGCTCCAAAATTTCCTCATTTGGGAAATTTGCAGGTTGCGAACTATAGGACTATCACATTATATGGTATAAGGATTGACGATCAAGCGAATTCTCGACAGTACTGTTTCCTTTAACTCTCCACAATTTATTAGCCATATTGTACAGTTACATTAAACTCCGAGAAGAGCATTTTATTTCCACGATGGGTTAATGCTCATGCCTTGATTATGATTTAAGCATCGGTTCAGGCCATATTGGAGATATGGGATATGACAGTGTCGAATGTGGTGATGTCCTTTGTGGAGACAGAATTATGTGACCATCTGTTTTCAGAATCGTACTCAGATTTCGATCACTTACTCTGTGACTAAGCGCTACTTTCACTCTCCTTAGGTCGACAGTTGAGAACTAATTATAGTAATAATAATAATAATTTCTATTATTATAGAACTACTCGTACCAGTTACATTACGCGGTTTGAATTCTCTAGGTAGATCTAATTAACGTTGGACGCACTCAGCCCCTCCAAGGCAGTCGACGACGCTTTTCGGTAAAGGTTTGCTTGTATAACGCCATTAAGCTTGTCCGCAGATATTTAGAAAACGAGTACTCACAGAAGGCGACTGCAGAAATGATCGAATTATCTTTGAGTTAGAGACAATAGAGAGACCTGGCATAAGCACAATGCTTAACCTCGCTGTAAAAATTGTTGATCCCACAGTTGCGGTGAGTTTACATGTGCTCACCTAGACAGTTAGTTCACCTCCAAAAAGAAGCATTATGTACACCGGCCTGTTTTCAGTGGTATTAGACTGGCTTAATAACTGGGATTGCCTGAAAACATTGTCCTCCAGTCATATTGGGTAGCCGCACTCAAGGAAAACATCAATTCATTCTCATTTTTATCGTCCATTCATATTCTCCGCTTCTTGAGCATTAGGCCCTGAATCCTTGGGTTCTTCTAGATTTAATGACGAAGCTTTTGAAATAAATATGTAGACTGATTCAGGACAGCTTCTGTGGATGATAACCCAAAGTCTTGGAAGAAGATCGATTAATACTGTATTATCAAGCTTTTCATTTTCAATTGTGAACTTTATATTTTGGGTGTGCTGAGTTAACCAAGTTTAAGGGAGCGAGGAGAATCAGCTAGCCATCAATAGAGCGGAACATCAATTACACATTGAATGTAGAATGTGAAACGGTCGGTGGCCCGTTCTTTCCTTTTAAATATTTGTTATTGTTTCTGACCTTGCCTTACCCAACACAACACACAGATTATTGTTTATTTACTCCCACCATTATTACCACCGGCGTTGGCAGTAGAAACAACTTCCTTTCACTTTAAACACCGAACCCATTCAGTTCTCACTGCAACCCGTCACACTAAACACTAAATTATTTATAAATATTTCGAAACCCTACATAAACATCGCATTTGTCTGCAGTGTGCGCCAGTTGAGATGCAGCGAAGTAGTTGAGGACATAAATCGTGTAGTGCTGCTACACTGGCTTCTCTTCTCTAAATTATTAATCAAAGTCTGCTGTTTTGCAGAATACGAAGTGCAAACTTCTTATGCTTGGATGATGAAAAGATCATAATATAATCTAATAGCCACCGTATATATATATATGTATATCATTATTTCTGAACATAATGTTCATCACAAGCCTTTATCAATCCAACTGGCCGTAATATTTTTTTAGATATTCCATGGCCATTTGGATTGTTATAGGCTAGTGATGAACATGATTTTCAGGAATATTTAAATCATTAATTATAATAGTAATATTAATCATAACAGAGAGCGGTATGCAGCAGTTTAGTGCTCTTCGCACTGATTACAACCTCACCAGCCATTTTACTTTCGGTCAGCATAGTTTTATTGCTTTATTGGTCCGGCTACTCACAAGTAGTATACTTCGGTATGTCAAAAGAAGTTGAAAAGTGGAAGGGTAACACGACTACGACAAATAATAACAAGACAAAATTACATTTGCTCAGTCTTCGACATGATAAAGTTTAAGGAAAGGGTGCTTACTTGTTGTGACTCAACAGATGGCAAGCAATCCCGAGGCTGGTCCCCAGCATCCGCATCCACACTCCACTTAGAACCAACATAAGCGCAACTTTCGCTGAGATCATAATAAATCTTGTGATTTTCGTCGTCCAAAATATTCAGTATATCCGTGAAAATGCCCATAGTGATGGAGTTCAACACCGTCTCATCATCCTCCTTGATATCAGTCTGCACTGCTACCGAAGTCATTTGTTTTGCGCTTGGTGGCTATTGGCATGGTCGTATTAATAGGGTACTCAAGGGCCAATGAAATCGCTGTACACAGTGGACAAACCATTGCTTGATAAAACCAAACAAAAAAAATTTGCAAAGGAAAAAGATACACGATTTAGGAATGAATTCCTGCTAATTTTACAGATTGGTTACTACTGGATAAATCCAAATTTGGATATTCGGTCTTACAAAATTTCAAGAATAACTGAAAGTTGGATGAATTCATTGATTTTATATGGAATGTAAAGTAATATTCATGAAACAGAATGTGAAAGATCAGTTACCTAACTATTGGGGGAAAATTTGTTTAAATCACTGGTCATCCGGCGGGCATTAGTTGTCTTCGCTATTCGGTCGCCATCTTGTCGGTTCCCGTTTCCGCTCCCTCCAAGTCGCACTTTTCCACCAGGCAGGTAAGTTCGTAGAGATAAAAATATATTTTTCTGTGTAATAAATCTAGTAATTTAGCAATTATGCGTCAAGTTGGTGATCCTAAGGCCGATCAGGACAAGAAGTTGTTTGTTGGTGGTCTGAATCCTAAGACTAATGAGGATTCACTTCGTGCTTACTATAGCCAATGGGGTGAAATAACTGATGTTGTCGTAATGAAAGACCCTCGTTCAAATAAATCTCGTGGATTTGGTTTCGTCACTTTTAAAGAAGCGTCTTCTGTTGATAAGGCTCAAGCCGATCGTCCGCACAAAGTAGACGGCAAAGATGTAGATTCTAAACGCGCGATGCCTAGAGAAGAAACTAGTCCAGAAGTTCACGCAGCAGTGAAGAAAATATTCGTTGGTGGTCTCAAGAAGGATGTTACTAACGAGGATCTGGCTGAGTACTTCGGCAAGTTTGGCAATGTTACGGATGCCTCCATCGTCATCGCTAAGGATACAAATACTTCCCGTGGCTTTGCTTTTGTGACATTTGATGACACTGATAGTGTCGATAAAGTCATTTTGGCTAGACCTCATATGATCGGTGGTCACAAAGCCGATGTGCGTAAGGCATTGAGCCGTGAAGAATTGAGAAAAGTACAGACGAAGCCGCCCCCGGCAAGGATGGATTACAATTCTAGCTGGAACGAGGGTCCTAACGTGGGCTATCATCAGACGTCCTGGGATCAGGGTTATAACCAGTCTTATGGTGGACCACAGCAACAGTATTATAATAACTCTGGATATGGTAAGTCTGCTGTCTATGCTATCTAAGCACATCTCTTCTAGGTTATGGTGGTTACGATAATTCTGGTGGCTGGCCCCCAGTAGCTGACGGCTTTGGGAATTACCAACAACAAGCCTATGGTGGCGGTCCTATGCGGGCTACTCCTGCTTCCGCTGCTCAGTATACACGTCCCGCCCCTTACACAGGAAATGGCTGGCAACAGCGTTAATGTGCTGAGCGGTCTGTAATTTGACCGATAAGTGATATCCATTGCTGAACGTGGATAGTGCATTTGACATCTTTTTACCATACCCTTGCTGTAAAATAAACACGTTACACTTTGACTTCTATACAAAAGTTTTTACTAATTGCTTGTCATAGGAGTGGATTCCGCACCCTGAATGATCGTCTTTTGGTCATCACAGGTACCGGATCAAGGAGATTCGTTCGAATTTGGAGCATCGCAACAACAATGAAGAAAAGTTCAACTGGATGCGTCTGGTGAGAGGATTTCGTATTAGCTAGATTAGAAGTAGTCATAGGATAAGTGAAACTTAGATGTTTAGATGTAGCTTCCGCCGCTCGCATTATTTTATAATGCCGCCCACAGTTGCCAGCATGTTTGGCTGCATTTGTGAACTAATGATTCAGTTTTACTCAGACCTTTGGCACTGAGTTCGTTTTTGGACTAGCTTAGTTTATTTTTGGTCGTAAGGTTTTCGACATTTGCAGACGCCCATGTCATTTCCATTGTTCGAATATATAGATATTCCATCTTCTTGCCTTTTTGCATTTGCGGGGTGAGGGATCCGTCAGTGGTTTTGCGTGCGTGCTCTGGAGTGTTTTGTTTCGGGTCGCTTCGTCGTTGCATTTGGTTGTCGTGTGCGTAATGGATCTACAATATGCCTTTCGGTGTGGGTAAATTCGGTATTTCATAGTTCAGGGTGCCGATACTTAAGAGCTGCTCACGATGTTGCGGGCTTTGCTTTATTTCTCGTCGCCTCCCAAAATTCTTCCCCGGGTAACTTGATTTTCGTCCATAGTCGACCCTAGGTCTCGGCTGTATTGGTGACTTGTCGATTTGTTTATCGGATTCCCGCTTAGATGTCTACGACGTTGATTTTTCTCTACGACTGTTAGCGATTCTCAGTCGGTGAGATAGTTGGTCCGCGGTGTCACTTTTGATTCAAGCCGTACCTATAAATATTGGTGTCACATAAGTAGGTTTCTGAGTTGCTGTATGCGAGAGGCAAACTAGTTTGGTGTTTGTCCTTGGCATGTTCTATGTGGTACTCCGTGTAGATATGTCCGTCATTAACTTGACTTATGGCACCTCCGTTGGATGGGTTGTCATGATCCACGCTACTGTGGTTCGGTTTTCGGTCGCTATCAGGCTGCCGTTGTCAATCTCCCAAAAACATCCACCTTCCCAGTGCAACAGCCTAACAATACTCAGCGTGCTACTGGTTCTTGTGAGTTCTTTTCGTTATGAGGTTGGTATCACAGGTTGTTCGGCAAGCGACGGCTTGAATGCGACGAATTACATACTTGATGCTTTTGGTAGGCCTCCGGGTCTGGACAGTTGTTTTGGGTGAATCCCCGAGTTTAAAAAGTTTGGTGTTGGTCTTTTGTACAAGTTCGAAGGGTGACGCGCAGCAGGAGGAAGACAAGGTTTAAAGTAGAGTCGAAGTGAAAGTGGGGGAATTCAGTGGGCTGGGGTTGTGGGGAAATTGAGACTCGCGAGCGCAAAAGATTACGATAGCCGTGTAATGGTCTATAGTCACCGATCACGATCGCCTTCCGAGGGGTCTAAGGGGATTTGTGTGGTCGATTGTTCTGTTTGGGGTTTTCGCACCCTCCTGCCGAAATTCAAAGTTTTTCATTCTTCACGGGACGTTTTGGTTAAGGACGTGACCGTTGAAGCGTTGGCCGGTTTTCGAGGTGCACCGCGAGTTAACGTTTACCTTAGTCTCTAATTAAATATTCGTCCACGGATAATGGTATTATACGCCATCAATTACTTGGCATTTGGTGCAGTGAATGTGATGGGGTCCGATGGTCTGGTGGATTGTCGTACCGATAGAGCAGCGGTTGCCCCGGTCGTGGACTCTAATTTTATGTTCGCTGGCTCGTAGATCTTGAGACGTGGATTCTGCATTTAGGTCTGCGCTTGGTGGCACCTTCTTTCTGTAGATCTTGCAAATGTTTAAGTCCGGCAGCCGTGTTCTTNTTTCCGTTAGTCGATTAATGTGGTTCTCTTGCTGATTACTATACCATTAGGGTTATTGGAATAACTTTCAACAATTATGCTACTTGTTTCCTCGATATTTAGTAGTTGGCTCTCTGATATTTGTTCTTGACGTGATTAGGCTCATTTGCTGGTGCATCCAAGATATTCACATAGAACGCCAATGCTCTTCGGTTTGTCTCGTGCGTTAGTTTTGACTCGTCAGTTATCACCCCGTTTCGTGGGTTGTCTTCAATTATGGGTTATCAATCTTATTGCTTTGGCGGTTAGAACTCCTTGTTCCGTAAGAGTGGTAGCTGAAGACTGGGTTAGACATCGGACAGCGTGTACAATAGCCGGATTGCACATTAATCCTTGAGGTTTTGTCGAATGGAATGTTTCATCGCTAATCTGGGCTAGACCTTTATTCTGTTAGCTCGTGGACTTGTTACAGTTGATTTACACCAAAATCAGGTGGTATTCCTAGGTTCCCTTACCTCCGGCTGAGGTCGTTGCTCTGTCAGGCGATCACAGTTGAGGTGTTCGCGGTCTGGCTGTAGGATTTGGAATCAGGAAATCTCGGTCCTTCCGCAATAATTGCCTGCTCGTACCTAGGCCGTTTACATACACTCCGTCTTGGATCATACATCGATAGAGGCCAGTGAATTAGTTGGAAGTCTAATGAAGCTCGAAACTGCGTCGGCGTTGGTCTTAGAGGTTTTGATTGACTTGGGATACGATAAAATTAGGAAAGTCTCAATGGTATTGATCCATACATCCACCGGTCTCGGTGTGCTCGCGAGTCAGCTGTCCATTCGTCTCGCTTTATTCATAAGGATTTAGCTTTTTAATTATACTGTCACTAAGCTCATGCTGTGATTCGCATTGTGTGGTGTCGCGGCCCGTCCCATTTAGTCCAACTTAGTCTGCCGACGACTCGTAAGTATTGCTGCAGCACTATTGAACGTGTTCAATGGACCGGAGTTTGGAGGTACGGTGGGTCAAAGAGATAACACTATAAAGGTCTACCAACATTCGAGCAGTTGCTCTTTGTTGTGGGAGAGGAGAGTTGCATTGGAGGTCAATTTGCCGAGACCATGTTTGTGCAGTCCGGTCACCCGTTTTAGGTGAGTCAATTTCCTAGCTTTTTTNTTCTTAGAGGTTGGGTACGCGTTCATTTCGCGGATCTCATCTTGCACAGATTTGTTTCGTACTGTACACTTCAAGTGGTTGCATCCTGTACCGTGTTCACAGTAAGCTGTCAATGGCACCCCTAACTTAGCTCGGTTTGAGGTAGGTATTTTCACTAAGTTTGTGGTTTAGGTTTTCACAAACATCCGACATGCCTGGTGATACGTGAGCTCGGTTTTTTTTTCGTTTGATGGAGATCGTAAGTACGCCACTTTATTTTGCGTTGAAAACGGTTTGATTCACTGTTCGGGTAGTCTGAACGTTTGGCAGCTGAAGTAGTGGAATTCAGAAGACGCCAATTGAAATGTTGGTGACTTTAACTGTGTTTTGATTGTTAGGCTGAAGTCAGTGTAATTACGGCGTCGGTCACCGCTGTTTTCGCTTCGCTACGGCTGTTCCAGTTCATGCCCGTGTATTCTAAACTTAGTCATACGACAGGCTTGACAACTCCCATCGGTGTTCATGCATGTAGAACATCTACTAACACGTTTCGGATCTGATCAAATCGCTAAATCACAACCATCCTAGCAAACAATGTAGATATACATAAGGAAAGTAAAGTTTGAAGCAGAATTGGAGGGGTGCTGAAATTATCGGGATAGAAAAAACGCGAGGTGAGGGCATTGTTTCGTGGCTGCAATCTACGGCATTCGGAGAACGTGGGTGAACGGCACGTGGCGTCTGTGATGGGGAAGCTCACACTTGGTGCGGTGCTGGTCGACGCCTTCGTTGGAACCCGGTCCTGCTATGTTATTTCCGCTATGCAGTGATCAAGGTCTCCCAGCATTTTACTGTCATCAGCTTTAAGTGGTCGTGTTTCGCAGCCGCATGTGAGGACAGGCAAACGGTGGCTTTGCGGGTGGCACCTTGATTTCATGTTACTTTTGTGGGTTTAGAAAAGCTAATATAGCGTGGTGGATACCAACGTGGATATCGTATTTGGCCTACAGGCTTGGCAACATCATAAGGTATATGACGGATGGTACCCTTCCTACAACTCACTCTCTGACTTGGTTGGGGACTGCCGGGATATCGGCTGGGGTTGAAAGAATCCTAGTTTTTGAGGTGTTGAATTTAAAACCTGCTTCTTTAGGGAATCTCCTCAAACTTCAGTAAACGTGGTCATTCAAATATACGGATGAGAATTTGTCCTACTGTAGTCTATGAAGTCCCTTTTTGCCACAAATGAGTAAGAAGTTTAAAACTTAAACCCATCAGTGGAGTATCAGTGGAGGAAACAGAACAATAGAAACTAACTTCCCCAACCTCACCCCCGACTGTGGAAGTAGTAGAGGAAGCAGATAAATTTTGCTATCTGGACAGCTGTATCTCGCCTGGCGGATCCGTCACAGATGAAGTGTCGGCACGCGTATAGAAGGCTCGGTTGTCATTTGCCAACTCAAGACATCCGTCGCGACATCTGGCTGTTCGCGAATGCTTCAGCAGGTCGACCAGTGCTGCTATACGGTGCTGAGACTATTACGGGAACAGGATAAAAATAGATTTTCATGGTTATGAACACCACTGTCTATGCAGTACCGCGCGAGTCTTGTGGGGTAACCAGACGATCAATTCTGCGGTTAGGCGTCGAGTTTTAGGTAATCGCGGCCGTACACTGGAGCAATTAGTCGACCTCCATAGACCACTAGTCGGGAAATTTGCTGCGCATGTCACCAGATAGGTTGCCAGGGCGGGCGATGTTTGCCGAGGAAGGTAGCGGTTGGAAAAAAGACGAAGGGCGGTCAAACTCAGACCTGGCAGGAGGATATGGAAACCACAACCGGGAGACTCGGCTCCGTTAGGCTATCTGG